ATTTGATCCATTTTCTTAACTGCAGCTTAGAAGTCTATGAATCAGCATTTTACTTTAGTCATCTATGTACCTGGCATCGGCTTTAACCTCTGAAAAATCTTAAGAATCAAACTTGGCCGAATATTTTTCATAACAAGGACTGCTCGTGGTGGCATTGCCAGACCCAGTTAGAGTCTGTAATCTGTAATTGAAGAACGAATCTTCTCTTTTTCTCCCAACCATTTGGGCATCATCAAACACTGAAAGACGTGCTACTTACTGCTTCGACTATCAAAACTGCCGCTTCCAGAGATTGTTTCTTTTTGCCAAGCGGAATTGCTTAGTTCAATTTATTTTATTTCAGCCGATGAACACAACAGTAAATGAAGAAGTGTCCTTAGTGCTAGTCAGTGACTCATTGATTGTAATTCTCGATGGTAGGATTCTTCGTGTCTTTCAGTCCAGTCTTCTTCAAAATAAATTAAAATAAATTGCTGGCTATTTGTAATATGAGTTATTGAAATTAAAGAGAGAGAGAGAGAGAGAGAGAGAGAGAGAGAGAGAGAGAGAGAGAGAGAGAGAGAGAGAGAAGCGCTTACATCTTAAAGCGAAACCTTCGATATAAATACAATAAGTGGGTGTTATATAGAAAAAAAATACACAACAAAAAAACTACACGCTAAGGATTATAGGCTAATATGGGAGTAACATTAAACAGAATAAGTGTAAACATTCAGCTATAGCTTTTTTAGAACAAATTAATCTATTTTAATTTGAAATTAACCTTTTTTTGCACCAAATTAACTCTATTTAATGTCGAATAAACCTATTCTTCAAAGCATTAAAAATGCATTAAAATTTCTCTTTATTTACGGTTTGTTAATATAAAAAAATTCGCTCATAGAAGACCATAAAAAATAATTTACAACTAAAATTTATATTTACGTAAAATGAAATGTAAAATAAAGGATTTTTCTTTTAATTTGAGAAATGTGAGAAATTGTCGTTTTTAATAGCCACATTTTTTATACATATTTAACAAATTCTCAAATTCAAAAATAATTTGTTTTTATTTCTAATTTTACATTATTTTTAATTGTAATTGTAATTAATTTTCATCTGGTCTTCTAAAAGACCAATTATTATTATTATTTATTATTTAATGCAGGCATTTTATTTGCCTGCTTACATTGTCACACCATCTCCGAAGTTTTTCAAATGTTTTAAAGAAAGAATTAATTTAATGTTAAAAATAGTTCATTTGCAATAAACCAATTTCGCATCAAATTAGCCCTCATTAATTTCAAATTAACCCTTTTTAATCTCAAATAAAACCTTTCTTTAAACCGTTAGAAAAGCTTGGGAGATGGTATAAAATATAAGTATGTAAAGTAACATTAACCCTTTTTAATGTCAAATTAAACCTTGCTTGAAAGAATTTAAAAAGATTAGGACATGGCATGTAAAGTTCCTGCTTATATAAATTTTTATACCATATGAAAATTAATCATTTAATGAACTTTTAATTTTGTAGAAATGTGTGAAATTGGGGTTTTGAAGAGCCCTAATACATTATACGTATTTTAAAAAACCTTACATTAAAAGAAAACAACCAGGTTTGTTTATTTAGTTATTAATTTTAATTGTAGTTAATTTTTGCATGGTCTTCTAAAAGTCCAATTAATTTATATTTAATTTTTTTGAATGGAGGTTTTTTAATGCTTACTGATTATATACCATACCATCTCCTGGATTTTTTGTGTTCTAAAAAAAGGGTTAATTTAAAATTAAAATGGGTTAATGTAAAATAAACCCGTTTTACATCAAATCAGCCTTTTTAATTACAAATTAAATCTTTTAACTTCAATGAACCCTTTTTAATATCAAATTAATCGTTTCTTTAAAACAATTAAAAAGCTTAGGCGATGGTAAGAAATATAAGGATGTAAAATAAAATTCCTGCATATTTAAGTATTTTCTGTTAGCATAAAATAATTGTGCTTTTAGAAGACTGTATGAAAATTATTCATTCACTCAGTTTGTAATTTTCTTGAAATTAAAATAAAAGTCGTTTCTTATACTAAATTTTATCTAATTGTTAATTTTATTGTCACTGTATTTTATTTATGGATTTCTAAGAGGCCGGTATATATATATATATACAAAGAATTTAATTTAAAAATTCAGCCTTTTTTTCAAAAATTGCAAAAGCGTAGGATACGGTATCAAACAGAAGTAAGCAAGATAAAATTCCTGCATTTGAAAAAAAAAATATATATATATATTTTCAAATGCAGGAATTTTGCCTTGCTTATTTCTGTTTGATACCGTATCCTACGCTTTTGCAATTTTTAAAAGAAAGGCTGAATTTTTAAATGAAGTTTTTCGTTATGTTTTAACGAAAGGGTACATTTGATATAAATAAGGGCTCCTTTTGAAATTAAAAAGGGTTACTAGAAGTTACAAACGGTTGAAATTAAAAAGGTTAATTTGATGATAAAAATGGTTAATTTGTTGGAAAAAGCTAATATAGGTTTACGTAATTACACACTACTTTGACGCTCCACTAGTTGCGGAGTTACTTAGGAAAGTAAGATGAAATATTTTTTCAACAAGAAACAAAGTTGACATTCGCTTTTTACACCCGAAAAATCTCCGAATACAAATTTTTGAGAAAACCAAAAAATATTTTTTCCCTCAAAATTTTCGCCTTCCAAAATATGGCTAAGATTTTTATGCAAAAATAAGAAAAATAACGATAATATTGAAAAGACTTCACCAATCCGTATGAAACTTAACAGAGGTTTAGAACCTTATCAACTGCACATAATGGCACAAACCTAGCTTCTGTAACCGGATATATAAAATAAAACGTTCGAGTTGTTTTTGTTGCTTTCATCCATATTCTTTTCACTCATAATGACGTAAAACATAAACTATTTTGTAATTGTCTGAAAGACGAACAATCCATCTTTGTCACAACATCGAATTAGTATAACATCCAGAGGAGTTATGAATTTCTAAGCAGAACACTTGACACCAGAGACCAAACCACTAATCCAACCCAAAAATATTTATTTTTTATTTGCAGTGAAAATTCGAATTTAATAGCTTTTCAGGGTGGTAAAAATGAATCATCCAATTTGGTTTTTTGAGAAAGTATTTTTTTAACCTACTCTATTCTAAAGGTTTTTAGTTGAGATGAAAAAAGTTAATGGCACGAGCGGGATTCGAACCCACGATCTTCGGCTAGATACGCCGCTGCTCTACCACTTGAACTATCGTCACTATAGAAGCTATTGATCCTTACATAAAAAGTTTAATTAATTGAAAGAAGTAATTTGGGCAATAGGCCACTAAATATAATGGATTTACACTTATCGTTAATTGTATCGTAACAAATTAATTTATTGAATCTAATGTAAATAAAATTACAAACTTGGACACAATAGTTAAATGTAAAGAACAAAGAAGATATTGATCAAACAGATTACAAGGTGAGAGAAAACCTGTAATCATAATGGAATAGGGTAAAAGAAAACAATAAAGTTTTCCACTGTAGGGTTACTGTTAAAAAAAAAAAAAAAAAAAAAGTGAACAACCAAAGTCGAAAAATAACGTTAACCATTATTCTGTAAATATAAAATTTTGACTATTTATTCACTAGATTTTTGTTAAAGTTTGAGAGTTCATGTGAAATTATCGAGCCTTAAAACTAATGAGGAAAAGATAATTAGTATCTCACGATGTTACAAATTTGTCAGGCTTGAAAAAACAGTGATGCACCTGCTACTCAGCTTTACAATTTAATTTCAACAGTTCTAAGGACGTTCATGAAAACTAATGCAAAAAATTCAAAGTGCTTCTTAAAAAAAGTATCTTATTTATTTATTATTTACTGAAACTATTGAATTTAATGTAAATAAAATTACAATCTTGGACACAATAGGTAAATGTAAAGAACAAAGAAGATATTGATCAAACAGAATACAAAGTGAGAGAAAACCTGAAATCATAATGGGAAAATGGGAATAGGATAAAAGAAAAACAATAAAGTGCTCCAATGCAGGGTTACTAGTGAACAAAATAACGTTAACCATTATTCTGTAAATATAAAATGTTAACTATTTATTCACTACATTTTTGTTAAAGTTTGTGAGTACATGTNCACGATAGCTCAAGTGGTAGAGCAGCGGCTTATCTAGCCGAAGATCGTGGGTTCGAATCCCGCTCGTGCCATTAACTTTTTTTCATCTCAACTAAAAACCTCAATTAATTGTAATGTATTAATTGGTCAAGCGGACCACGAAATTAGTGAATCTATTCTAAAGGTATTTTGGCTTTTGTAACTCTTTATATCTTTAATCTCATTTAATATCAATAGCTTTTCAAGGTGGTAAAAATGAATCCAATTTGGTTTTTTGAGAAAGTATTTTTTTAACCTACTTTATTCTAAATGTATTTTGGCTTTTGTAACTCTTTATAACTTTAGTCTCATTTAATATCCATCCTGCATATTATTTTATTATCTTACACGAAAAATCTAATAATATAAGGCGGAAAAACCTATAAAACATTACTAAAAATAATTCTTTTGGCTTTTATGGCACATTGGCAAGAATGCGAAATAATAGAATTGTAGGGAGACAATAATATATACATTAAAGGTCTGCGTATAATTAAGCGAAATATTAATAATAATAATATTAAAATAATAATTAATTTTCTTAATTTTCACAAAAGTTTCTTTGGCATATAGCTCCACTCATCAGGGAGATAAAATATTTCAAGATTGAAAGAAAGCAGAGGACGTTGAATTTTTACGATTGTTCATATTAAAAAGAAAAACACGTTCCTCTCTGTTTTTTTATTACGAGGAGACAACAAGAAAGGACAATTAAAAGGGTCAACAATTAAATGTATGCAACGAGAGCGGGCTGGTGAGCCGGTGGGGAGGGTGGATCCGAGATATTCTGACGTAAAAAGTACAAAACGTTAACGAGACCCGAGCCCTTGGTTCGGTTCAGTCCGTTCTCATTTGTCTTGTGCGATGGTTGCATTGCCAGTCGAAAAAGCGATTCTGCTCATATTTTCTCTCCATTCGACATTGCAATCTTCTCCAGAACAAGACTGCAATAACGTAAGTTTGCCAGAGAATCAAATTTTTCCCTTTCCACCGCCTCCTCGATTGTACCCTTTTTTGACAAAATATCAGGAGGATGATTTTGCACAAAAATTCCAACGCATTTGTTATAATATGCGAATATCCTTAACGTAAACAATTATTCATCGATATTATTCACACTCCCATTCCGACCCAGTGACTTGTCATTTTTTCTAAAATTTTATTTACTGATTTATTGTAAAAATTTTTGCATTTTGGTCCATTTAAATGCGTAGAGATTTTTTTTTACTCTATTCAAATTATTTTCATTTCCCCGTTTTAAAAAAAACAGATAACACAATATATCATTGTTATTTTACGACTCATATAAATATTTTTTATTTGTTGCTTCTACTACATAGGATATTGTTATTTAATAGTTTTACAAACAATAATCTATCTATATCTTATCGTTTAACCCCAGCCGTTACAGTCAGTTTTTTTCCATTTTATATGAAACAGCCCGACGTTAAAAACATATATAAATAGTTCGAAATTTTCGATTTGGACAGGAACACCGATTGACGGTTGTCCGTCTGTGGAGGAAAATTTTCCACGGAATTGACCATTATTAACTGGCTGTGTTCCTTGATTTAGACGTGATTCAGAGTCTAGTGGCTGGTTTTTAAACGTTTGCGACGATGATAAAAATAAACAAACGATATTTCTTTCAAATCTTCTTTTTTATTGGGTTGTTTTTATTGCATTGGGTTTTTGTTTGTTTGAAATGTCCATTTCCAATGTAAAGGTTTTTTTACTAAAATTACAATATAAAAGGAAAATAATTTTATTCGAAGTATTTACTTTCATTTTCTTCACATTTTTCCCAACGCGTGACCAACTTTATTATGCCGGAACTGAAGAATTCTGAGCTTCGAAATGAAACAAAATCTGCAAACGCTTTATGGACTTGAACATCACTTTCAAAAATTTTTCCTTTGACGAACTTTTCCAAATTACTAAACATCTGTTGGAGACAAGTCCAGAGAATAAGGTGGCTGCTAAAGAACTTCATACCAAGTTTTTCAATTTGTTTACAGTATGTTAGTATCGGACCTTTCCGATTTACCAATGCAGGTTTTTTTTTTGAGTAATTTTTTATGCATGCCGTCAATTTCCTTGCAGTACGATGTAGAGGTAATGATTTCACTTCTATGCAAAAAGGAGTAGTGAATAATCCCATCCATGGACCACCATACGGTCACCATCAATTTTTTGGGTGTGAATTTGGTTTTGGCTTGTGTCCTGGTCTTTCAAGAAAAGGCGGGGGATTTGAAAGATGGAAAGGCAGAAGTATAAGGCTTAACCTCCGAAACCGTAAAGGGTACGTCCTTGTCTTTTCAAGGCATACACTACGTCCACAGCAGTGACGGTCTTCCTCTTAGCGTGCTCGGTGTAAGTGACAGCGTCCCTGATAACGTTTTCCAAGAATACTTTTAAGACTCCACGGGTCTCTTCGTAGATCAGACCAGAGATACGCTTGACTCCTCCACGACGGCCAGACGACGGATAGCGGGCTTAGTGATACCCTGGATGTTGTCACGGAGTACTTTCCTATGACGCTTGGCGCCTCTTTTTCCCAAACCTTTTCCTCCTTTGCCACGACCAGTCATGATGAAGAGTTCAAAACTGACCTGGCGAGCGACGAACCGCATTTTTCAAGGCGCTTTAATTGGTGTCGCTCATTGAGCTCATGAGAGACCCGTAGATCACGCTTTTTCACTTTTCCTATGTTCCTTAACTGTCTTGACACGGTAGCTGCACTTGCATTTAGTTGTGCTGCGAGTCCTCTGACTGTTTGATCGAGGTTTTCTTCCACCTGAAGCTTAAGGACATCGTTGACAATTAAAGTTGGAGGTCTTCCGCTGGGTTCGTTTTCCAGTTCGGTATTCCCCAAACATAGCAAACCAACGGCGAATGGTCCGTTCATTTACACTCCCTTCCCCAAACGCCTTACTGATGTTTGTTGCAGCCACAGCTGCCAAATGAGCGAGTTTGAACTGATAAAGGAATATTACTCGAAAATCGCGTGTTTCCATGTTCATATTTAGAAGTATACTAAAACGTGTGTAATGGATTGGGGAGCTCATCATGATAAACAGAAGCGGAGAAATAACTGCTTAATTACAATGTGTAAACAATATTGAAGTAAACAACAGAAAACCGCTATATCCTCTCTGAATTTCTGAAATTATAAAATCGGACATTCCATGTGAAACGACCCACAACAACATTATAGTACACTATAGAAGTAGAAAATGCGGAAGTGTTGTATTTTTTAAATTTGTAACTACATATAAAACGTACAAAGAATGATTTTTCTCATATTTCCATGTTCACAATAGGGAAACAAGATTTTTTTTTTTTAAATGCTGACTATCAGTGACAAGATGTATTTGGTAAATATAGAGTTGTACTTTTTAAGCAAAAAATATTCTTTTTGATATCAAATCTGGAGTATATTTTATATATTTTTTTAAAAAGGAAAGACGTGATTGATCAAATTAGCTTACTCTTCTCTGAAAAGTAGCACCGTCTAAAATACTCAGGACAAAGCCATCTTAATCTAAGCTTTCCATAAATAAAACCACCCGGAAGGGTAAAAAACGGCAAAATTTCCAATTCACCCAGAAACTTTAAAAAGGAAATAAATGGGACAAGAGAGATTGTAAGGATCATGAAACAGCTTTGTTCAAAATTTAATGAAGAGAAAACAAAAATGAATTTATTTGCTATTCATGTTATTCATATTTTACATTCTTTTGAGAATAAAAACTTAAATAATAATGGAGAACAGAATGATGTAATAAAATATAAAATAAACAGCCTGCTCTCAGAAGGTTTAACTCGTGCTTGAGGCCAGGAGTTGTGAGCTCCCAAATAATTTTATGCATTACCAAAAATAACATTAAAAAACTAAAAAAGATTAAAACAAATTAGTGGTACAATAGTGAAATAAATATACAATTGATTTGACAATTGTCATTTTATGTAACTTTTTAAATAATTATTTTATTAATATGTTGCTCACAATAATTTCTCTTCTTTAATTATATAAGCTTTATACTAAATTTTATCAGCTTCTATTAAACACTCAATTAATTGTACACAATTTTTTTCGAAATGAAAAATTTGTGTCACGAGCGGGATTCGAACCCACGACTTTCGGCTAAATACGCTGCTGCTCTACCACTTGAGCTACCGTGACTTCGATCGCCCATGCCACAAACTTCTCATTTCGACTACCCGATTTTATTCTAATTATAAGCAAATCGCGGCTTCATATAGAAACACTTTTTATTAACGAATTATTCGTTATTCGAATCCCGCTCGTGACACAAATTTTTCATTTCGAAAAAAAAATTATGTACAATTAATTGAGTATATAAGCTTTAAAAAAATTAAATTTATCATAAGAGGAAAAGAATTTATATCAATTTTGTAGTAATTAATGCATCTTAATGCTATATTGTTTAATGAACGCCTTGTTTAATGAACAAATGCATAATAAACGAAGGCATGAATACAGCAAAAATAATTGTTTGACATTTAACACTTCAAAATGGACGTAAAGTTGCTTAGTGTTGTACCTTCTATGTTTAGTTAGTAATATTTTACTATAGAACTTTGAGCAGTAATTGTTGGAGAAATTGTAAACTTTGTGGTACCATCCCAAACTAGGATCTCAAATGTTATCAAGGACCTCATTAAATCTGGCTGAAGAATATTTCTTAAAAAATTTAAAATTTATAAAATAATTTTAAAACTTTTTTACCAAAGCATCTATATAAAACCTAAATTTAAATTTAGTAAAAGTGGCGCCGGTTGCCGCAACGGTTTAGGCATTGACACTGTGTTCGTCACTGTAAGGTAAAGGTCCCGGGTTCCAATGCAGGGCCGCTGGATTTCAAGAGCATTTCAAATCAAAATTAATAAACGTTTAATCAATTCATTCAAAATTTCCTTAAGTTTTTTATTTTTTATTATTATTAATCTTTCCACTGTACCAATCTTCAATCACGGTTTTTTCTTTTCCTTCATCAATTTCTTCCACTTTGAAAAAACAATTAAAAAAGCAATTACACAACTAAAAAGGATATTAAATGTAGTACGTTTTCGAAATTTGCTGGTCTCTAGGTTTGGAAATAGTAGTTTAGAATCACCATAGTAAATTTTTCAACTTTAAAAAAAAAAATTGTTTTCAAACATCTCGCTACTAAAACGCTTATTTCAGAAGGTCTACAAGTTTAGTATTGATCACATCTTATTGCAAATTTAACGTAGTTCTCAATGGTATTAACGGATTTTTCCAAAACCTTTTAGTTTTGGAGTTTTCATTGTTTATTTGAAGCAAGGTCGTGAAATCTTAAAAAATCAGAAAAAGTGGAATAACTCCGAAACTGTTGAGATTCGGACCATAGTTAATTAGGACTTTTTGGTTCCTTTTTGTACTGACAAAATTTGTAACACGAGTAGCCGAACACCCCGTATACATTTAAAAATCCCTATAGCCCTGAGATACCGGAAAAGCGATCTGTGCCCTCTGCCGTCCCCAAGACTACGCACAGGTCCGATGATATGTCAAAATATTGTCTATATACGTCAATACTTCTACAATTGAAAAGGTGCTCGACCATTATTCTATCTTGGCACAACTGACACTTCCGCGGTCGCTTTCCGGCCAGAAGGTGCCCGTTCGTTATTCTTGTATGGCCTATGCGTAGTCTTGTCATTATGGCCGTTTACCTTTTCGCAACGTTCTCCGTGGACCAGGGATGGACGTCTTTCTTAACTTGCCACAATTGGCAGGGCTATTTCTATTTTTACGAACCCAGCGCTTTTTCGATTCACCTTTTAATGTATTTGAAATTAATAGTTTTAAATCCGCTAGGCGTACAATCGTGGGGGCCTTCCGGCGGCTTCTTTGGCCACCCTTTCTGCTTCTTCGGTCCCTGCTATATGTGACCGGGAACCCA